AAACAAATAAAATACATGCAGTAAAAACAAAACTCATCCATTTTTTTTAAATATTTATATTTATCTTGTTTAAAATGTTTAGAAGCGTAAAATATATGAAGGGCTAATATATAGTTAATGTCTCGATGTGCGATTCTTTTATACAAAATAAATAACAATAGTATTTTATATATGCTGTGGGATCAGAACAACATTAATTAATAAAAAATTGTAGAGTTGTAGTATCAAACATAAAATATAATTTAAAATATAATTTATAAAATTGCGAAAATTAATTAAAAAGCTTTTCGATCATTTTTAAATTCAATGTTCTTTTAAGAATTGCAAAATGTGTATATAATATTGTTTACTTCATGAAACTAACAACCTTTATGTTTACCAAATGCTCATTAAGTTCTAAGATAAATGACTGATGTTAAGTTATAAAAAAAATACATCAAGTTAAATTCTGGTATTACGTTTACGTTAATCATAATCTAACCACATTATTTTGTTGGATTTCATATAAAAAATGGCAGTTAAGCTGTATATAATACAATATTCAATAATACAAGAAAAATTACATCTATAATATAACTTAAATATTTGTTTTAATATAAATTGCAATCCATTGTTGAAAACCTAAAAGCATTGCTGAGTTTATAATAAAACATTCGACTAATTATTTCAAGCTAATAGAATACATGAAAGCTTTAAAAACTATTTAAGAAACAATATTCAGTTACTAGTATTTTTGTTATTTAAATAACTACAATTATATACTTCAACAGGAATAAAATTTACTTTGTGGAAGTATCTCCAGTTGACAAACGATAGTAAAAATTGTATTCAGATTCATAATCCGAATAGGTTTGATTATTAAATGTTTTGTGATGTGGAATATAATGTCTCAAAGGATTTTCTAACAGAAAATTATATAGTTTGGAACATCTATTTAAAATATGTTCTGTATTAATGCCCGTTTCTTTGATTTTATCAAAAAGTTGTGCAATAATCTCCTTTTGTAGTTTCTGCTTTTCTTTAAACAAGTTTGTATCAACTGAAAAACAAATTTATATATATGTATATAATATGTATATAAGACTATAAGCATTTATAAACGTACTATGTGTTAAATCCAAACTATATTTTAAATCAGTAGAATGTTTGGAAATAAGGACTGCCTGTTTAGTACGTGTAATTATTTCCTGTAAGGCACCGTATGGTGTTAATAACGCACCTGGCGTCATTTGCAATGCTGGGGATAGTTCTTGAGATTCTATGATTATTGGATTTGGTGACAAGTAAAATGCGCTGAAAAAATATTATTTATTAGATTTATTTTGTATATTTAAAGTTAAACTTTTAACTAACCATGGATTGGATATGCAACTAAAATTTTCAATCGGACTTTCAGCAAAAGTATTTAATTCCAATAAATATGTAGGTAAATTATTATGTGCACCACCACTCATAACAGTAGCATCCATAGAACAAAAACTGCGTAGCAGAGCACTGCTGTTAAGAGAACTCATTGTTATGTCAAGATCAAGTTTTGTACTGCAGAGTACATTTTCAGTTCCCATTTCAAAACTATCGGCACTTAATGTGATGTCGTTTACTTTAATTTGTGGTTGTAAAAAATTGTTACGCACATCCATTGACCAAGTAGTACTTTTTGGTTTCATCTCATTTAACAATTGCCTCAAGATATTTTTGGAATAAACTATTTTATCCTTAATTTGATTTAACTGCACCATTTCAACTTGTAAGCGATTAACGGAAGCATTTATATCGAAATAAACTTGCTTTATCAAGCCAAGAAGAACCTAAATTATAAAGAAATTAAAATAATTAACAATTTAACAATTAATTGTGTTTAACTTTATATACCTCATGATTCTCAATTTGTTTATTTGTATTTTCGATATCAATTTTAAAACGTTCTATTTGCTGTGCAATGTATTCATTCTCGCTATTTGAAAAGATAATAGAGTTTAATTGCACGAGGTAATTTGATATTATTTCTTCCACATTCTCATCATTTTCGGAGTTATACAAATTCAACTTCTTTTGCAATTCGTCCACAAATTCTATATAAGCTTTGGAAAACACTTCCTCAAGATGATCGCGTTCAATCCTTACTTTTATGTATTTTGCTACCAGACCTAAAAAACTTGCTTTTGTTTTTGCAATTTTCATTTCATAGGACGAAAAAGGCTCTTTACTCAAAGATGGTTTATATGAAAACCCAAGAGTTTTGTTTAATGTCTGTCCATTCAGAGATATAATGTTTTGTAGTTGCTCATCTTTAAGGCGCATAACAACATTAAAAATGGAGAAGTTTGGTATATCAGAAAAGTTGGTACGAATTTCTTTCCATAATTCTTCCTTGCTCTCAGCTAATTGAACATGAAATAGAATATTTAATTGGGAAATTATCTTATTTTTTATTCTTGTACTTACCACTAATGTTACCGATTTCAGTATTATTGTAAAAATTTTCCAATATATTAAGAGTATTTTGTACTGCTTCCATTGCGACATTGTCATTGTTAGTAGTGTGAGTTGATAGTTTAACTGGCATAGTGGCTAGAATATTCTTTTTATTTTCATTTTCTTCAGTCAGCTGTTTGTCCAAGGATTCACTTTTAAATTCAAGTATCGCATTTTTAGCCTTCAGTAAGCGCTCTTTATGCTTGAAATTAACACTTTTTATGTCTGAAAGAAATGGATGTAAATATTTTGTAGTTAGTTAGTTATTCTTAGCTACTTTTGATGTAAGTGGATATGTTATTTCAGTGGCGAATGCAATAGAGCCATTGTGGTTTAAAACGCCCCCAAAATATTTAAGACCATTTTATATTGAATTTAATTAATTTTTTTTTAAATTCAGTTTTTTATATGTACTCTTAATTAGTAATCAAAAACCTTTATATAAGTCTCTGTACACGCTCTTGCATTATTGACAATTCGTACCATTCACGGGTACAATAATTCTTGATTTTTCAACAATCTGTTTTGGAGTAGATAATTATTAAAGGCATTATGTTCGTTTTCTGTTTACACATACACGTAGTATTTAGAGTTATTTTTTTTATTAAAAAAATAATTTATTATATGAAAGCTTACTTTTTGCTTTGATCGAAGTAGCTAAAGTTTCATATTCTTTTCTGTGTTCCTCCAAACGTTTTAGAATTTTGCTTTTTTTAATATTTAAATCATACATATTATGATACTTTTGCATTTCTCTGGGTAAAAAACTTTTTCCACATGTCTGCAAATTGACAGAGTTTAATCAAATTAATGTAAAAAAAATATACAAACTTCAATACAAACCTGCGTAACTACCTCCAGGTCCTTCACCTTTTCAATTTTGTTTATTAATATATTTTCACGAATAGATATTACATCCCCACGCGGTAACACTCTTCTCATAAGATTTTTAAAAAGTTCACTTTGATGCGATTTAAAAATTCTTTGCAAATAAAAACAAATTCAATAATTTTGAAGAAAACCTTAATTCACTTGTACTTACGTTTTTAATGCATCTTCGCTTGGCATCGATTCATTATCACACCCTAATTTCACTGCCCATGCTTTAAAATCCTCTAGAAATTCCTTTTGCGACATATTTACATCAAAATTTCTTCAAAAATATAAATGCGGTGTACTACACAATTTTATATTTGCGCAAAAATTTTAAATTCACACCAATTGGTTTAGGTTTGTTCGATTTGCACCAAAAACTGTTCTCAATAGAAATTTGAAAATATGGCCAGTGTTGTAAATGTACTATATATTTTTTTAAGATTAATTGTTATATCAAAAGCTTGTACTTATTAATTAAAAACTGAAGCATTTTTTTTATAAATTTTCAGAATTTAAAATTGTATTTTTTTTATTAACTCAACAATATAAAAATATGCAGTAGTTATTATTATTTTTTTAAAAATTATACTGTTTATACTGGATTCACACGAGACTTCTGACTGTAATTTTATCTGTCAAAAAATTTTAAACTGACATCTGAAATCAAAAACAAAAAATATCGATTCACACGATGGATCATAGTAATTTAATTGTCAGATTTATCATACGTCCTAACTTTTTAAATACTCTTACAAAATATTTACTTTGTGCATATAATATATTAATATGATAATAGTTTTGTTTCATTTTGTATGAAAGTTTCATTCACAATAATACAATTTTGTGCTGTACAATACTGCTCTGTGATGAACTGTCTAAGTTAAAATCAACTTGATTTTAGGTGAATGCTCCAATAAAATACGAGTCGCTTAAAAATTAACATACAAAACAAATATCAAAGTTGCAAGCCCATCTTCCTGAAAGTACTTAATAAATAAGTCTCTGGCACTACTATTAGTGTATTTTTTTGACAAGAATACTCCAAAAACACACGTGGACTTTAAAAATTAACATGCAAAGCAAAAACGGAATGCGCTAAAATAGGCCCAGTGCTTTACGAATAAGCACGTCGCACTATAATGGTACTTGTTTATAGTGCACCTTATCAAACCTTATGGAAAGCGTATGCGCTTAAATTACTTTTTCCCTATCACTCGTGAGTATTGTCATATATTTGAATGAATATATACAATTAGCTTCGTAATTTTATAGTCTTAGTTTTTATACTCATTCTTGCAACCCAGAAGCTGTGTAATAATTTCCTAAATTGTTTCCCATTTTAATGTTCGTTGCTGTTATTAAATAATTTGACATTTCTTTCGCTTGGTCAATTCACAATGATATTGTGCTAATATACTAACAAAAAAAAAGTTTGCAACTTTATTTGTAATTAATAATTATAATAAACGAAAACTTAATAAAAACTTTACTTAACAATGAGCCAAGGTATTGTAACATAAGATCATATTTATTTTTATACGTAAAAACTGTTAAATTTGTAGACGCTGGTGAATCAAGGGAGCCGCACGTACCGGTTAAACATAAGGATTTTCTAATTTCTATTAAAACTGGAGAACCAATGGAGATAAAAGAACGTGATATGGTAAATATAAGTACTTAAACATATTACGCATAGGTATATATTCAATAATGTATTTGAAACAGTATGGCAGGTGTCGACCTGCGAATGATTTTGTGAAGTTAAATAGAATAGGTGAAGGATCCTATGGTATTGTTTGTAAGTATAAACCATTTTTTATTGAATTGAAAAAAAATTATAATCAATAAAACATTAGATCGTGCAAGAGATGCTCGTACAAACGAAATCGTGGCTTTGAAAAAAATGCGAATGGATCAGGAAAAAGATGGATTGCCTGTAAGTGGTCTTAGAGAGATTATGATACTTAAAGCTTGTGATCACAAAAATATTGTTAAATTGAAAGATGTTGCAGTTGGTAGGAGTTTGGAAAGGTATACTTTACTCTAATAAAATTTAAATGAATATCTAAAGGGATTTGTTCTAGCATATTTCTTGTAATGGAATACTGTGAACAAGATTTGGCCTCGCTCTTGGAAAATATGTCACAACCATTTTCAGAGTCGGAAGTTAAATGCATAGTACTTCAGTTGTTAAATGGTCTACAATACATGCATTCCCGTTATATTGCACATCGAGATCTCAAGGTTTCCAACTTGTTAATGACTGATAAAGGATGCGTTAAAATTGGTTTGTTTGTTACTTGATTTTTATTTGCCATGTATAATGTAATGTACATTCATTGCAGCTGACTTTGGCCTAGCAAGATATTTTGGAAAACCAGGTGCGCCTATGACACCTCATGTCGTTACTTTGTGGTATCGTTCGCCGGAATTGATATTAGGTTCCGTCACACAAACAACAGCAGTCGATATGTGGGCAGTGGGATGTATATTAGGAGAGTTGCTTTTACACAAACCATTGTTGCCGGGAAAAACGGAAATAGCACAATTAGAACATATAATTGACTTATTGGGTGCGCCTACTGAAGCTATTTGGCCAGATCTTACTAAAATGCCAAGCATGCAAAATTTCACATTTAAGCAGCAGCCGTATAACAATATGAAAACCAAATTTCCACATTTAACTGCTGCAGGTTTAAGACTGATAAACTACTTGTTTATGTACGATCCTCTCAAGCGCGCTACAGCTGAAGAGTGCTTACAAGCAACATATTTTAGAGAACCTCCATTACGTATGTATAATTTATATATATAATGGAAACATTTTAATACATATATACTTTCTTTTTATATCAGCATGTGATCCGAAATTCATGCCCACATTTCCACAACATCGGAACATGCAACATCAAAAACCTACTACTAGTCATCAACAGCAGGCTCCAGAGTTGCCTGCAATATCAGATATTTTGGGTAGCTTATTGAAAAAACGCCGCATGGAGTAGTAAGATATTTACTATTGTATAGCTTTAATTTTAACGTTTATTTAGTTAGTGATATTGAATGAAATAAATATTTATCATATTTTGCTTTACAAATACGGCCGATCCATTGGTGTTTTTTTAGCCTTCTTGTCTCTTGAACGTGGGAACCAGCGGTGCTTTGTAGTGTGTGTTAATTGCATAAGCTCTTGACGTGCAACTTCGGGGTGTTTGTTTCGAAATGCGCTCATAGCGGTTTGTAAGGAAACCTCTTTAATAAGTGAAGCCGAATCAAGTTTCTCTGCTTGTGGGATGGGTTTTGTGTACTCGTAAGGAATTTGTACATCGGGATGCCAAGCAACTATGACTTTGCCATCATTTCTTACTGCTACTTTTTCTACAAGGCTTAATCCACCGACTGCATTTTTATTAATTGTTAACTTCGTACAATTTATTGAAAAATTACGAATATTTTGGGAAAATATACGTCCAGCCATCGTGTTATGAAAAATAACTATTGTGAATTTTTAAAATACAACAGCTGCTGATTGTAGGGTTGCCATAACAAGATTTGTGTTACGAAAATATATTAAATATAAAGTCGTGATTATTTAGGGTTGTATTATTTCCAAAAAACAAAAACAGTTTGCAAAATAATTAATTTTAAATAGTAATAATTAATTTTAATTAAGTAATTAGAATTAATTTTACAGGTTTATAATCCATAAATTATATATAATCTTAATCAGTTTATGCCAGCACTGTAAGTACTTTTTTATTAGTGTTGTAATGAGATGTATTGGCAAAAATGAAAGGCTTTAGCTGATCAGTGAAGATGTCTGGCTCCAGGACGTAGATGTGATCGAACATGAAACATAGATTTGTACTTTTGTTGTTATAGCCAGCAGGGATGTGTGAACCAGATAACATTAAAGGAATTACATGACGAATTAATTGATTCAGATATAGGTAGTTAATGCTAATGTGAGAGGAGAGGAGAGGATTATTAGGGAATGAGACTTGATTAGGGATGGGTGGGATTTAAATTAAAGTCAACCAGAATCAAGTCGAAAAAATCTAACCACTAATATGGGACAGGTGAAAATTTCGTTTGGAGTAAGGTTTATATGTGCATTTTGGCAAAAGAACAAATAGCTCCACACTCTGACTTCATGGTGGGTACAGCTTCAGTTTGGCCACACATTGCGAATTGACTCATTTGTGGGTGACAAGTAATTGCAGAGAAGAACTAACGAATGCATCTTAGAGAGAGGGCTACAAAAAAATGATGCTATTGGGATATCCATCTGTCCATTGATTACATTCTTTTACAAGAAGAATTTTAGATTCTGTACGAAGATGGTTAACATGTGACATGCGATGATAGCCGGTTGCAATCTGTAAAGCTGTGCTTTGACTCACAGAGTTGTGAGGTTCGCACCGGAGCTGCATGGCCTGCACTAAAACACCGTACTTCACCCAGTTTAGGTAGAGTTTCTTTGCTTTACCCATGAATAACTCAGAAGAGATTTCAATACATTATTGCGTGACTTTAACCGACTGCACATCGCCGTGGCATAAAATGACGTCAAAATTGCTGGGTACAATGGTTGGGAACAGGCCATGTTATCCTATTGAATATTATCATCTAATTATTGGGATGGGAAGGATTAGATAAAGCTTTAGTGGTTATCACAATCTACCATTTTGAGAGTCGTGGAACATAGTGATAATGTTCTTTTTATTTTTACGGTGTTGTTCATCCATCATTTTACGGTTGTAGTCTCAAAAGGGATCACAGAAGAAGGTGTTGCTCTGTATTTCTTTCAGCAGTTCTTATTTTATTGTTTTAACTAAAATAAGGATATAAGGATTATAGTTTAAACAGTTTAAGCACTTATTAGTTCCAAATTGTTTTATGCTCGGTTTTAATACAAACAGTCTTATTATAAGATATTAGTGTAATTCCATGACATCGAATAAAATATATATCAGACGACAGTTCGATTAGAAAATCACAAAGAATCATTCTTTTGAGCATATATGATAATGTACTGTATATGAGTATATGAGTATAGCAATATTATTAATATAACTTTTTATTGTAACAATGATGATACACACAGAGCATTATCCAATAAACAACAGTGATAATCAGAAATTTTTTTTTTGATATATAAAGTAAACATTGATTCGATAGTTTTCGTAAGAATTTTTTATTAAATTGTTTATATTTTATAAAAGCAACATGAAGTCTCTAATATTTATTAAATATTAAGTAAACGTTGTAGAATAATAAAGAGAAGAATATACTTGTCATTAAAAGAATCAAAAACAAATATATAAATATAAATAAATCCCTGACAATTTATTTTACTTATATCAAATAATAATTAATTAGAAATGCATTTATAACTAAGTGAAGAATATATTATCAAATATGAAGAATCTTTAGCTTCGTTTTTGGGAACATATTTGGATAGCTTATGTATGTAATTTAGCTCCTTATGTATGATATCCTGAAATAAAAAAATGTTTATGTCTATGTTTCAACATTAAATCAATAAAATTATTTCGTCATCGTCACTTTTAACCTATATTTTATTTGGTTTATTGCTTTTTAATAGCTGTTTATGTGATTAAAAGTTGAAAAGTGAAAGTAGGTCGACAATACGTCACTTTCACTGCCCACCACCCACTACTTCGTAAATGTATCCATTTAAGAATTTCTTAATCAGATTTGCCCAAAAGCTTACCAATTTACTTCAAACGTTCTTGTCGAATGGTGGAAGCCAAGTAACACGCCAATATAATGCCAAGAATTTGAATGAAAGCGATACCAATGCCCACACCTATCAAAATGACGGCATTCTTGTCAATGCGTTCTTTTAATTTTCCAACACAGCCCTCCTAAATTTTGAAAATAGATTTTCAGCGTAAAAAATAGAATTCCAAATTGGACAATAATGATAATGGGAAAAATATTGAAATTATGTTTTTACCTGATAATATTTGTCTCTACCTAAAGCTGGTGAATCATTGCAATGCTTAGAAGCTTCTTCAATGTATTGTGGGCGACAACAACTGGCCGGTAAAGTCTTGTTTGGGCTTGAAGAACGCCAGTCAGCTGGGTTATCAACACCACAGCACATAAGTTTCTGTTGTATATTATCCCAAGCCATGGTGTCTTCCTTGTTCGAACGTTTAATGGAATCTTGTAGAGAATTTGTTAAAACCATTTCCAAATCCTTTTTGAATACTGCAGCTGCTATACCAACTGCTAATTCTATTATAAATATGACGGCAAGCAATACTGCGTACTTAAAGTGATAATAAAATAAATTTGTTAATTATGGTTTTCTAAATATACGCTATTTATATAGAATATATGAATCTTACTGTTAAAAGCAAAGTTGGTGATTCCTTTATTGCTCCAAAACAACCAAGTGAAGCAATCAGAAATATTATTAGACCCGTTACAATTAACACAATTGGTGGTGCTGTCACTTTTCCCTCCACAAAATGATTGAATTCATTCACATCAGCGAGGACGACGGCACCAGCAATTAGTATGCCTAACCCGGATATCTAAAAGAAGATTTGCAAAGATTTACTTTAGATTAATTTCATTAATGTACTTCATGTGTATTTTGATTATTTAAAATCGGTATTATAGATTTGATTTGATTGGTTTCATTTCAAATTTGGAAATTAATTACGGAATTAATTTTTAAGGTATGCTTTTGTCGAACTGCAATATTATATTTAGTTAGATTAGCCTAACCGCTAGCCAGACTTAAATTTATCTAATTAACTCTTGCGATACTACTATGAAGTACGACCTTTCGTAGTCGTTATCATGTAGTTTGTTAACGATTTTTACGAATTTTAAAAATACTTAAAGTCGAAGATGATAAAAATAATTTTGGACATCTACTAAATTTCCAAATTGAAGAATGCCAAAGTAGCTTAGTAGCGTAGTAGTAAAATAATAAGAAAATTGGCTCCTGGTGAAACTTAGTTTAGTAAGAAACTTTTTTAAACACTAACGATTTTACGTCAAGTGTTTAATTTCAGGCCAGCTGCCCCTATTCTGGCATTCGCTGAGTGAATTCAGGTGATAAATAAACGGACAGACTCTCCTTCGTGCAACTTGCGGGCTTCGTTCAAGCACTATTTTGGTTATATCACTAAATAAGGTGTTAATATTGTATAATGAACCAAAAACACATTTATATCAAAATTTTAAAAAATTACATTGCAAAAATAAATTAATTTTGACCTATCATAATTTTTGAACTTTTTAAGTAAACAAGGACATGTTAAGCAACAAAGCAAACGATATTTAAAGAACTGAAAGTTTCTGAGAAATGTTTCTGGAGCATTATTAGACAAGACGGTTATGTAGGGATCGCACTTGCGCCCTATGCTTTCATCGATAGCCAACGCAATATCATTGTTTTTATTAATAATTTTAATATTCTATGTTTGTGTATAAAATGGCAAGGAACTCTTTCTGTTTCTTTTTGTCTTATCCTAATCTTCTAGTGGAGCATAGGGCCTCTATTATCCAAGGGGAAGGAACTAATAAATTAATTTGTCGGTATCGAAAAGGTGGTGTTAGTTGTATATTCGTATGTATTATAATTTGTAAATTAGGCTTGCTTTTTTTAAATGTGCTACTGGTTATTGGAGGTGCTAGAAATATCGTAATGGAATAGGAGATTGTCTTACTTATGATTAATTTATACTTAAATCGAAATAACATATCATCAATATATATATATAAAACAAGAAGTTATCTAAATATATATGTACATCATGTAGTTGAAATGAATGTGAACTTTCTCAGGTTCGTTTTTTCTATAGATAAAGCTATATAGAAAATTGTAAATAGGTAGTTGCACTAAACTGAATACATAACTTACTTATTCTAATTTATTGTTACTTATCAGTAGTTATTATCTCCATTACTACCATTCATATGAAGAAAATAAATTCGTAATTTCGTTAATGCAGTTCGGTATGAAGAATAATGATTTAATTACTTGATCTGACGATTTGATAAGAAATATAAATGACCAAAAATGAATGAAGGTCAGCAAATATTTGAACAGCCAAATCATTTGTTGGTAAATTACCAAAAATGCTTGCATGCAATACACAATTTGGTGTTTCTAAAATAATTCAATTTAATTGAAAAAACCATGAATCAGTAAAAGGCCCAAATGTCAATGTGAAGGCGTACGCTGGGTCGAATAAAAACAACCTTAATGACCCACGTGGGTTAACAACTGAAGACTTGAACATGTTACAAGGTTTTATATTTTGCAAATTTCAAAGATTTTTTTTATAAAACGAAGGTAAATACAAAATCAAAATATACTTAGTAAAATTGTAAATAAACTTTTACTTTGCAATTAAAAAAGTGGGTACTTTGGAAAAACGACGGACTGAACAGTATGAGTATGAGTACACCTTAAGGTAGGTAAGTAAACTACTGATATCCTTTACGATAACTGGCAATTTACTGCATAAGAATGTTTCTGTGCGTGTAATTAAAGCTGTTCTTTATTATATGTGTTCCTCTATATGTTTATATACGTGATATAAATAAATAAAGTATATGTACATACATAAATAAATTGCGTGCATGATTCGTATCACATGAATGTATATATGAGTATATATATGAAGGTATTTATAAGAGTTACAGTACTCAA